TCTCATTTAACTACTGTTTCTGTTCTACAAAACTCTACAGCATAAAGATTATATATACTCACTGCTCAGCACAGTTCCTGCACTGAATGAGTAGTTAGCTATGATGTTGGTGTTGCTGGTGGCAATAGTGGTGGGAGTGGTGGTGGCAGGTTTCAAAAACAGATTGCTCTCAAGTTCAAGAAGATAACATGAAAGAAAATCACAGCTTGGAAGTTTTGCTTTCCGTACGTAGCATCTTTGTGATGCCTGGAGCATTCTGACCAGAAAAATGCTTTAAAAGACAGTTATAAAGACAGGATAGACTGAACTCAGGTACAGCTTCACCTCAGGGGTTAAATTGGTGGTGGAGGCTTTTGCAAAGTGTGCCTATTCTAAAAAATTGTACGTGTCCTGCGGATGTCTCCTGATTCCGGAAGAGAAAAAGAAGAGACCAAGAATTCAACCATCTTCATTCTCTTTTCAGTAGAACCATCATGGGGTTGGATGCAGAATGTATCCTTAATTAACTGAACCTGGGCACACAAAAATCCAATCACTTAGGTATTTGGAGCACTATGATCAATATAAAAGTGGCTAGGAAACAGGACATAACAAATAAGTGGACACTTTTCTGAGCAGAGACATAAACATGGTGGTGCAATGATGGTCTAGGGAGGCCCCACCTCTCCGTGAATCAGAACCAAGTTCTTCAGTGACAGAAACCCGGGCAGCCATGAAAGGACTGTGTCCTGGGCAAAAGGTGGGATCTGCTGTAGAATGATGTGATGTGTGCAATGGCAACCATAACGCAAGAGCTTGGTGCATAAGCCAGAATTCCTGAAATGAATAATTCCGAGACTGTGGCAGACTCTGAAGGAATGCTGCAGTCCAGCTTATTCTGTGGTCAGCTACCAAAGGGACAAAATCTACAATTTCTGACTTCCTATCTTTTTCTCCTAAAACACTCTGAATAGTCCTTCATGGATCATTAAACGCTCCCAATGGCTCTAGTCCGCCTTTTCCCGACAGCCAATGACAACCTGTGCTTTCGGGGCCACAGGAGGGCTCCTCTCCGCCTTCAGAGACAGCTGAGGGTTACCGAAGTCTCAACGGGGTCGCAGCTAGTTCAAGTCCGGCAGCCGGAGGAGCCGGACTACATTTCCCAGGAGCCTCTGCGCCGACTTCCGCTTCCGTTCCCTTTTGCGAGCTGGGCTCTTTCCCGGCAGATACCCTCAGAGTGTCTGGACCTGGACGGGGCAGATGCTGGGCTTTTCCGGCTGGTTGTCTTCCCAGGCCCCCCACCCCGCCCCAGGCCCGCTGATCTGACCATAGTCCCTTCTTCTGGAGCTGGGCTTGGCCACCTTGACCCACCCCTTCTCCTCTGGAGTTTTCTCTGGGTTTTGTGTGTACCTGACAATGGGGTATGTGTGTTTCACATCCTGAATTATCTCTGGGTCCTTTGCTCAGAAATGGGTTAAGGGTCCATACCGCCTGGCTGGAAGGTGAGGCAGGTAGAGTCCGAGGCTCCCAGTGTTTGGGGCAGGTCAGAGATCAAGCCGCTGCACCCATGTGTCGCTGCAGACTACCCTGTGGTGGAACATTTTTTTGTTTGTTTGGTTTTGTTTTTTAAAGACGTGGGAGGGGCTGAATGTAGGAGATCATTCATAATCATTTGCGGAAAGCCGTGTTACTTCAGTAGTAGACATCCATCTCATCGTTTGCACACACAAAGAAACTGAAATACAGGAAGGAAAAGTGCCTTGTTCTGGGTCACCCACTGGCGCATAGAATACAGGTGCCCTCATTCCCAGCAGGGCATTTTCCATCAGGTCTTCTTACACTTATGTATTAATCGGGCTTGTTGATTACAGTATCTTTACCTTTGTAATTGTTTTATATTCCTAGGTATCTTTCTCTGCAGAGCCCCTGGGTAAAGGTATTGAGGCTTCCTGAAGACTAAGTGGCTTCTATTCCTTCGTTCATTCTTTCTTGTTAAATATTTTTTTTAGTTGTCCATGGACCTTTATTTTACTTATTGCTGAGGATCAAACCCAGTGCCTCACACGTGGTTGGCAAGTGCTGTACCACTGAGCTACAACTCCAGCCTATGAAGTTTTTAAATTTAGCCTTATCTCAAAAGATACTGCTTCAGACTCCCTGTTTGCTTTGAGCAGGATCTCAGAGAATAGAAAAAAAATATATAACGAACAAGAAAAATTCAGTCCAGAATCTTTTGCCAGGACTTCTGGGAGAATGGTGGAAATTCTCAGAAAGGAAGTGGAAGACTTGGGAATGGTTACTCTATTCAAGTGGTGGTGCAAAGGCTGTGATTGTAGAGGATTGGGCCCACAAACTTCAGAACAGAGGTAAGAAATATGAGAGAGGACTCTACCATTATCTGGGCATCTTACAGGAACACACATAATTTGCTTTTTCTTTACAGCCATTTTGTAAAATGTGTGTGGGTAACTCTGAAATCTTGGACAAGTCACTTCTTTCCTAATATATAAAAAGTGATTTATGGAAAACACCTGATAAATGGTGAGTGCTTGATAAATGGTATTAATTTTCTGATATCATTCCCTTTTTAATTGAAGCTCCAAGAAAATAAGATATCTACTTTCTATACTTTCTTTCATTATACTGGCTTCCTCTCTGAAAGATGAGAGAGACGGTAAGTCACACTCTGGAGATAAAAAAGTGGACAGGGAGAAGCTGATGATTTGATTTGGCATGGTAGTACATGGGGGAGTTCAGGGCCTTTGAACCTTTCATGAGGGCAGTTATATCTGTATCTGCAGAGTCCATGGCCCTGCTACCTGCTTCTGAAAGAATTAGGGACTACTTCCTGGCTGCTTCTCAGTTCCGTCTTAAAAAGTACTCTCTCATTTAAGGAAATACAGTGGGGTGATCCAGATTAGAAGGGCTTCCTCGCCAGGTGTGGTGGTGGATGCCTGTAATCCCAGTGGCTCAGGAGGCTGAGGCAGGAGGATCGCAAGTTCAAAGCCAGCCTCAGCAAATTAGTGAGACCGTGTCTCTAAAAAATATTTTTTAAAAAGGGCTAGGGATATGTCTCAGTGGTTAAACACACACACACACACACACACACCCGTGTTTTGGTTGGTGGGGGGGGGGCTTCCATAGTCTGCCCTATTCCTGATTATTTCTGGCTTTCCCATAACATCCTGCCCTCAGCCCCTCTGGTTTTCCAAGGCCTTGGGACTTATGAGTTCCTATTTCCACCTTATCTGCTGCTGATTGCCTCTGTCCAGTATAGAGAGCTGGTAGGCATTTTGGGGGCAAGTAGGGGCTTGGGAGTATCACCAAATATTGATTATACTTTTTGTCTTCATAGAACAAGGAATAGAAAAAAAGCATAAAGTCTTGATTAATATTGATGTGTAGAAGGTATTGAGAATAAAAATGAACTGATAATTAAATGACTTTTACTGAATATTTACTCTGTACCGAGTACTGGTTTGGACCCTTTATATTAATGCACAATTTTATGTGGTAGGTACCATTATTCCTGCCTGCCCCCCACCTTTTTTTTTTTTAAAGTGAGGAAACTGAAGCACAGAAGAAACTTTGCTGTGGTCACACAGAGCAAGGATTTGAAAACAGGAAAACTCCAGAGCTAGTGTTGAATGAGAAAGGATTTTAAAAGTCATGGATTTTTCAAAATTGTGAAATACTGTGCTGTTTATGATGACTGAAGGCTACAAACATTGATTCCTCAAACAAATCTACAAGGGGCTTTAACTATTGCTTTTGTGGATAAGAGGTGGGAGTAGAGGAATAGAGTGTGAGGGAAGATTAAAGAAATAAATAAACTGTAGAATATTAGGAAAATACAGAATTATTTTATATTTGTAGAATTAATATATGTAGAATTAAATAGATAGCATGTTACCCTACAACCCAGAAATAAGTTCAAAGAATTGCTTAAAGTTAATATGATCAGCAGTATTTCTCCTTGTAGGCAAAAAACCAAAACAAAGAAATAGACAGTAAACAGAAAATTCCTTGATAGGCATTGAATCAGACATAGGGAATTAGTAGATCATTCATTGATTCATTCACAATGCTTTGGGCCTGCTGTCTGCACAGGTACACAGTACTCAGTGCTTAGGATGCAGGATGAATGAGTTGACACAATGCAACTTTGTGGATCATGTGTGTAGTGGGACAGATAGTGTCTTATTCTATTTTCTGCTGCTCTAACAGAATACTACAGACTGGGTAATTTACATTGAACAGCAATTTATTTGGCTCACAGTTCTGGAAGCTGGGAAGTCCAAGGATTGGCAGCACTATCTCTTCAGCAGCTCATGAGGGTCGCCTTGCCACATACATCATTACATGGAGGAAGACAGAAGGAAAAGCTAGTACATGAGATAGAGGATGGGGATTGAATTTATCCTCTTACCGGGAGCCTGTTCCTGCAATAACTATCCTATTTCTTTGATAACAACCACATCATCTCTTAAAGGTCCCCTCTTAATACTGTCATCAGAGCATTTAAATTTAAATGTGGGTTTTGAAGAAGATATTAAAATCATAGTAGATGGCCACAGTCTTATCCTGGACCTGGAATACTTAGGATATGGTGGCTGAAGACCTCTGTGATTTTGACTGCTAAAATGGGGACTATTTTTTTAAAAAATATTTATTTTTTAGTTTTAGGAGGACACAATATCTTTATTTTATTTTTATGTGGTGCTGAGAATCGAACCCAGTGTTTGCTAGGCAAACACGCTACCACTTGAGCCACACCCTCAGCCCTATTTTTTTTTTTTTTGCCTCTGTGGCTTTTCCTTGTTCTAAAAGTTAGACAACTCATGAGATAATTAAGTTCTAAATTTAGTGAAAGATTTCACAGAAATTTAAACTTTAAAGCTGCTATAAAATTTAAGAGTCATAATGCAAGATAAAAATATAGCCACAATAAAATGAAATATTTACACAGTCTACTTGTGCTGAAATTGCTTTCATATTGTGGAAGAGAAATACACAGACAAAAAAATATGGAACACTTCACAAATTTGTGTGTCATCCTTTAGCAGGGGTCGTGTTAATTTTCTCTGTATCTTTCCAATTTGAGTATATGTGCTTTTGAAATAAGCACAAAATTAAGACAGTTTTTCCATTTTTTGAATAAAGGAGTTGAGGCTGCTAGTCTTTAAAGTTTTTTTTATTTGACATAGTAATTTATATTTATGGCATACAGTGTGACATTTCAATACTTCTGTATAACATATAATGATCAGATCAATGTAATTGGCCTGTCACCTCAGAGACTCGAGTTTTTCTCCAGCCCTATTAGTAAGTATTACTTTTTGATCTTATTTATTTGGTTAATCACAAGGAATCTCATTCTTAGAACAATGGCTCATGCAGATCCTGAACCCCATTAATGGTCATATTGTTCCCTAAGTTAACATTCATTCTGCCCTCTGAGATTATCTTTGAAGCTTTAGATATCTGTAAAATCCTTTAAACCATATGACAACCAATGTCTGAGGCACATATTATCATAAGTATCTGTTTCTAATGCAATAGGTCTGACACACATAAAAATAACTGGATCTTTGTTAAGTTTTTCCTTCAAGCTCTGCCATTTGGGACCCTGCCCTTTACCCCGAAAGGGTATCTTGAGGAAGAAACCATGGCTTCTCTTCACCATACAGGGAAATCCCAGGTAAGCTGTGGGTTTTATTCCCTTACCTGAAATATTATTTTAATTTTGGAAGCAAATAGGTTTCTTACTTTTAGCATGAAGATTGTCAGTAATAGTTTGAAAAGACAGGATCAGATGGGTGGCATGGACTGCCACCAAGATGGTGTTCAGATGTTCCTCACTTGTGTGGAATCAGCAGTGATGATCGGGAGGCTTGGCAGCGTCTCCCATCAGTCTAGAGAGAGGGTGAGGAAGATGAGGCCTCTTTAGCAAATAATTGGGGAGGATAAGTCATAGAATGTGGTGGAGTAAGAATCAAAGTTCCATTTGTTCACTTTGGTGTAGATAGGCAAAAGTACAGGAGGCATTTCTTGCTTCCATCTGCTTAGAATCCTATAGGGAGAAAGGATGTACACAGCCTGTGGTACAAATCAGATTTACTAAGGGCTTACTTAATAATAAAGTGCTATAGGAAAATGCAATATGAATTCAGAGGACAGTGAGAAAGTGTTTCTGGTTGGGAGAGATTGGGAAGGCCCTATTCATTCATCTTGCATTTTTAAGTCCTTTTAAGCAGCTTCCTGGTTAATGAAAGTAGTAATATTTGGGCTGTGGTTATGGCTCAGTGGTAAGAGTGCTTGCCTAGTACCTGTGAGGCCCTGGGTTTGATCCTCAGCACCACATAAAAATAAATAAATAAAATAAAGGTATTGTGTTCAACTACAACTAAAATATAAATATCTTTTTTAAAATTTTGAATCTCAGAATATCCCAAAGCTATGAAAAGAAATCTATTTGAGAATACCCAGAGGATAGAGATCACTCATTCCACCAAAAAAGAAGCAAGTCAAACTTTAGAAAATTATCATGTAAAGACTTTCTATTGTGATATTTTTGAAAGTGAATGAATGCATTTTGTTTATATACTTTGCACTCATGAGACTGTCAATCTCTTAAAAGAATGATGTTGCCAGCAATATGAATGACTTTTGGGTTCACATTACAATTCAGTGAGGAAAGGAAGAATTGTATAATAAAGGCTGTAATACAATTGGCTAACTATTTGGAAAATATTGTGTTATTTCCAATTCACCTCAAATATGTCCCACTGGAGACATTTTTGGTTGTCACAACTCAGGGGAGAGAATACTATGGTATCTAGAGGATAGAGACCAGGGATACTGTCAAACATCCTACTAGGCACAGTACATTCCCTACAACAAAGGATTAGCCTGCCCCAAATGGCAAGGGTACTGAGGTCCAGAAATGCTTAGGTAAGTGGTTTTCCATGGTAGCAATGCACCACAAGGTGGCAGCCATGCCTCTTGTGGAGATGCTGAGATCAAAACTTACAGTGAAAGTTCACAGGAGTAGCTGATTTTAATTAATCTGTTTTCTTAACACACACACACACACACACACACACACACACACACACATAAATGTTTTTACACTGCAAAAGTGAAAGTCTTTTTAACATATTCAAATACTATAAAAAGTAAAAAAAAAGGCATAAAGTAAAATATAAGCACTCCTCTTTTCCTCTTCACATTCTACCCTTTAGAACTGTTCAATGTGTATCCATTCACATTCTTTCCTTACATATGTGTGTGTCGTGTGTGAAATATGTGCATGTAACTAGGATTGTACTGGTTTTTTTTTTCAACTCATTTTAATTTTCAAAATTATCCTGTAGACATCTTTTAAAGTAATTTAGAACTACTTCATTTAAAAATGGATTAATGGTGTTCTGAGGTATGGATGTGCTACTATATATTTTATATATATATATTACATATATATGTATACATATATGTTCTTTCCATTTTTTTGCTGAAACAAATAATTCTGTGGTCATGTTGTTACTTCTGTAGGATAAAGTTAAATTCCTGGAAACATTTATAATGTATAAACAAAATGTATAAAGAGATACTACAAATTGATAAGAAAGAAAGTAACCCAATGTAAAAATAGGAGATGGAAATGAATAGATCTGTGTTTCTAATGCCATTTTCAAATAAAAGGAACCAGGGATCCTTGGAGAAACAGCTGATTCCAGAATTGTGGTAGAGAATACATAAGATGAATATCTTATACTTGAAAACACCAAACAACAAAATTAAACAAAAAACACATCAAAGAGACAAGTGAAGGGTTCCCAATGGACAAATCTGGGCAACAAAATAAAGTAGTATTTTAATATAACTCAATGTATAAAGTGAATACCCATGAGTCTATACTGCTGTAAATAAGTGATTGAGTAAATAAATAAATTTGGGATAAATAGACAAATCTCCCATCCTGAAGAATTCCAAAATAATTTTTGTAGATATTTCATCCTCAGAGAGGTAAAACATAACTTCTCACTCTTTAAATGTGGAGAAACCTGATCACAGGTAATCAAGGTTATCCAGGTGATCAAGGTCAACATCAACTTGCTAAATCATGTTGACTGTTTGTGCTTTTTATAAGATGTGGTGAAAATGACACGTTACCTCTGTTTTTCCTCCACAAACAAACACCAAAACCCATAAACAATTTTCAATCAAAAGACATGTGAATTTCCTAACCAGTACGATTCAGAATTGCCAAAGTCATCAAATACAAAACAAACAAACAAAAAAACTGCCTTAAAAAAATGTTGCAAGTCAGAGTTACCTAAAGAGACGGCTGAATTATGATGTGTTCTTGATGGGATCCTGGGACAGAAAAATGATACTAGATACTAGATTAAAAACCAAGAATATCTAAGCAAGTGTGGAATTTAGTGAGTAACATATTAGTATTGGTTTATAATTGTGACAAGTTTATAATAACATAAGATATTAGTAGTAGGGGAATTTGGGTGTGGGGTATGTGGAAACTGTAAAAAAAGTTTGATCTATCATGGTAGAGAAATTTGTTCTTCGTAAGAAATTATGAAATTCTCATATGAAGAAGTACTCATAGAAATCAGCCAAAAACTATCAGAAAAAGAAAGTGTCCTAGACGTGTATCAGGAAGTTAATTAATAAAAATTAATTAAAAGAGTTATGTCTGCTTGTGATTCTCCTGCCTCAGCCTCCTGAGTAGTTTATATAACAGGTGTGCACCTCTGCACCTGGCTGCTTATAACTCTTACAATTATACAAGTACATTTTTGCTAGAAAACCAAAATGTAGTCCCATTTTGCCACCTAGAAAATATAAAGTCATATACACAAGGATCGAGAAATTTAAAAATTAATAATTTTTTTTAACATTTCATCAAGCATACTCTTGAATGAAACTGGCTTTTGTTTGCTTTAATGTGAGTGGGGAATTAAATAACATAACTGCTAGTACAGGCTTGGTGTCATTGCTTTGATTTTTGCTGAAGTCCCAGCAGTTTTACCCACTAATGCTTCTGCATTATCAGTGCACATGACAGTTGTGTTAGTCAGTTTTCTGTCACTGTGACAAAATACCTCAGATATCTCCTTAGAAGGAGGAGAGGTTTATTTTGGCTCATGGTTTCAAAAGTTTCAGTCCAGAATTACTTGACCCAATTGCTTTGGGCTTGTGGCAGCACAGAATGTGATGGAGGAGGCTGGTTTACCAAATAGCATCTAAAAACTGAAAAAAAGGGGGAGAGGAAGGGACTAGGATTCCAATATACCCATCAAGGGCATACCCCTAGTGAGTGGACTAATACTAGGCTTCTCTCTTAAATGTTCTACCACCTCTCCTTGGCGCCATGGACTAGGGATCAAGCTTAAAGGCTTGATATGTTAAAACATATGGGCCTTGAGGGACACTTACAAGCCATAGTAATAATTGTGAAAAAGGGAAAGAATACCTAACACTATTAGGAAAATGACTTTTGTCCTCACACAATCCCTAAAGGGTCTCTGTGAAACCCTTAGGGCTCCGTCAACCACACTTTAAGAACCACTGGACTAACAGTGGGCATCCAGATTTTAATGGAAGGTGAAGGCAAACCTTTATAAATACTTAATGCTTGTTCTTCTTAACTCATTAATAAATCTATTAGTCCTGTCCCTGGTCTCCAAAGGCAGAGATCATTAGAGTGGATGAAAACAAGACTCACGAGATACCTACAAAGATGCATTTCAAATAGCAAGGTCAGGTTGGCTGGTAAAAGAAAGGCAAAATGATAATATCAAATACCCTAAATCTGGAACCAATACAAACGTTCATCTACAGTGAAAAGATAAATTTATTGTGGCAAGCAATAAAATTACTGTTTAGCAATCAAAGTTAACAAGCTACTAATGTAGACATTCACATTTTATTGAATGAAATAAATCAGACATACTACCTACTGTTTCCAATTATATGAAATTATATAATAAGTAAAATTAATCTATAGGGGTTAAAATATTTATTTTAAAAAATCAAATCTATAGTTTCCTGGAATCAGCAGTGACTGGGAAAATGAGCAAAAAGAAACAGAACCTCCCTAGGGGTGCTGGAAATATTCTCTGCCTTAATTGGGTGGTGGTTACATGAATGGATACCTTTGTCAAAACTCATTGACCTGGACATTAAAAATATGTGAATTTTATTGTGTGTAAATTATACCATAGTAAAGCTGATTTTAAAAAATGCTTCTCTGGATTTGGTGTGGAGAATGGATTGGAGGAAACAGTAAGTAGATGTAGGAGTTATAGTTTGGAGGCCATTGCCATAATCCAGGTGAGAGATAATGGCAGTGGAAATAAAAAGTGTAAAGGGTTTGTAGATACTTGGGATGAAAAATGGTGAAGGAAGGGGGCATGGGTTGTGAGAGAAAGAAAGGAGTTAGGGATGCTCCTGGGGCTTCTGGTTTGTGCATCTGGTTGGGTGCTGGCAGCAAAACCTAAGAACCATGAGGTGGGTCAGGTTTGTTGTGATAGGATCAGGTAAGGTCTTGAGTATAATTTTGCATTTGCAAGATTCAAGGTATATATGAGGAAAGCAATAAGGACATTTCTTATGTGACTCAAAATCTGGAAATAAGCAGTTTTAAAGTTTAGCAATTCAGCAATATCATTGAGGCTCTTTACATTTTTCGGTTACATTATCCTCACCTTACTGATCTGGTCCTTGTGTTGATTCTTATGATTGCAAAACGTTGCTGGAGCCTGAAAGCAGAAAAATCCATGAAGTTGGAAAAGAAAGGTGAAGTTCCAGAGATATTGTGCATGTAGGACTGGTAACTGCAGAACCCATGTCACATCTTGTACTTATTTTGTGACCTCCACCAAATGTAGCATTAAGCATCAAATGGATGCAGAGTAAATAACGAATACATGGAGCAATCCTAGGTGGAGAGGAGACAGGTCCATAGAAATATCTTCCAAGTTATATATTAGGTCAGACCTGGCTCTGGGACCAATGACACAGTCCAGAGTGTACTTGTTGGTTAGTAAATGGCTAAATGATAAAAGATGTTTCAGAAGTGAGAGAAAGTTCCAGTTAATTGGAGAAATATCCTATGCCCATTTCCTCCTCTTGAGGAGGAGAAGGCTTCTGAGAAGACAGAATTGGAGAAGGGCAGATTCAAATGAGGGATGGACTTCACCACCATCTGCCACGGCAAAAGAAACTTTCCCACATCTACTAGTGGAGAGATACCTAGGAGTAACCCTGTCCTATTCCAGGATCAGCAAGAAGGTCCCCGGGACTTCTTTGGTTTTGGAGTTATAAGTGTGCATTTGGATTCTGACTGTCATATATCAAATATTGGGCCAGTTACTCAATCTCACTTAACTACTGTTTCTGTTCTATAAAACTCTACAGCATAAAGATTATATATACTCACTGCTCAGCACAGTCCCTGCACTGAATGAGTAGTTAGTTATGATGTTGGTGTTGCTGGTGACAATAGTGGTGGGAGTGGTGGTGGCAGGTTTCAAAGACAGATTTGCTCTCAAGTTCAAGAAGATAACATGAAAGAAAATCACAGCTTTTCTCTGTGATTGGGAGGTCAGGCTGAAGTGTTCCAAGAGCCTAATTATATGAAAGATGAAATTTGAGAACCATACAATCAAGGATGCAAAATAGAATGCATGCAATGTATGTATCAGAAAAAAAGGTGAATATAAACTAAGAAGCTCAAAGAAATACCAACAAAGCTATGCTAAGGAATCTGGGATTCTTGTGACAGCTGGAGGGAACCAATGCAAAGAGATCATTGGTTTTGATTCAGCCAAATCTGAGCTCATCTTAGACTTGGGCCTGGTCCCTCACAACCAGTTCTCAATCCAATTCATTTTTAACAAGCATTTATTAGCTTGTTAAAAATGTACATATGCAGGGCCAGAGTTGTGGCTCAGTGGCAGAGTGCTTGCCTTGTATGCGTGAGGCACTGAGTTCGATCCCTGGAACCACATACAAAAAATAAACAAATAAAATAAAGGTATTTTAAAAATGTACAGATGCTTTATATAGCTCACCAAATACCATAATGTTAGAATAAATGAGAAATGGTAAAAGCAGTGAGGAAAAGGGAAAGTTAATGATTATGAAGTGATTGGGAAGAAAGAAAGAGAATTTAAGTTGAGATATGAAGAATGGATATTTAGAGGGGAAAAATGGGAGATTGAGAGAAAAATGGTCTTTTAGTTTGAGCTTCAAATCTAGCACCATGTGGTTTATTCAAGAACCTATCAGGGAAGAAGCGGCATGATAAAGGGATACGGATGAGACAGAAAGACAATATCTGGAGGAAAGAGAGGTGTCTTCTAAGCCCTTGATAGCTTTCTTGGTTACTGTTTACATGCTACTAAATTCTTAAGTAATAATAATCCGTCGTGACAGCAGTTAGCCTGTTGAAAATGAAGGTTGCTTGTGAATATGTATGGTTTAAATTAATCCTCTGAACTCCTTTGAGATCAGTATCACTTTTTCTTTTTGGAAAAACAGAGAAGTTAAACTTGACCAAAGCCACCTCTGTAGGTTTGAACCCAGATGGTATAATTCCAGAGTTGCAGAAATTGGCTAGCCTCCTTATGGAGAAGAAGATTGTTTTGGGAAAACTCAGAGTATGAAAACCAGATGCCAAGGGTAGAGGATCCAAGAGGTAGAAGAAAGAGGCAAACACATCTAGGATTGTACATAATGCACTTTATTAGGGATTTGTGGACAGAAGGATGTCTTTGATGATAGTAAAGTCAGGAGGATTCCTGTGTCCAAAAGTTTATAAGCTTGGGTTTGTAAGCTAAGATAAATAGACAAAGATGACACCAAAACAAATGAAATGTACATGAGATTTTGTTTTTAAAAAGTAATTTGTCAAACACCAGCTAATGTTATGGTTTAGATAGTAGGTATCCTCCAAAAGCTCATATGTGAGACAATCCAAGAAAGTTTAGAGGTGAAATGATAGGAATATAAGAATCTGAATCTAATCAGTGCATTAATTTCCTGATAGGGTGGTAACTGTAGGTAGATAGGGTGTGGCTGGAGGAGAAGGGTTATTGGGGTTGTGCCTTTTGGGTAAATATTTTGTGCCTGGTCTGCAGTGTCTCCCTCTTTCTGCTTCTTGGTGTCATGTCTCTAGCTATTTCCTCTGTTGCACTCTTCCTCCATGATGTTCTGCCTCATCTTAGGCACAGAGCAATGGAGTCTGCCATCTGTGGACTGAGACCTCTAAAATCATGAGCCCCAAGTGAACTTTTCCTCTTCTAAAAATGTTTTTGGCAGGTATTTTGGTCACAGAAATGAAAAAGATGATTAAAGTAGTTAAGAAATAGTCAGGGTGTCAATAGCAAGTATGAAATGCTCAGCTGTCTTGACTATTGATTCTCAAGGCTTTAGAATGCATGCCAGGGTCACCTGGTGGACAAGATGGTGGTTGTGACCAAGTTTTATGTCAAGCTTGATCCCTGAAAGGGTACAGGGGATACAAATATGGAGGGGGGGTGTCTACATTTCCAGTGCTGGAACCCCTTGGATGGTCACATCAGAGGTAGGTGGCCCAAACTAACTATTGTTTCCAAAAGGAGTAATGTGACTAGCAGAAATTTTGCCTATAAGTGAAAAGGGTCTCTGACTACTGTGGAAAACATTGGATACAAATTCGGTGGTGCTTATAATGAACTTTATGATCCAGGTTTATTGTCAAGTTTTGTTCCTCCCTGAAATAATGCAAACAGAAGCATAGGGGTGTAGCTGGAATTAAGGTTTATGGCAAATAATTCAGGCTGATCTCAGAATGGCTTTTGAAAGTATTCCTTTGTCAGGGAGTTTTGGACTCTCTGAAGACTTAACTGTCTTTTCTTTTTAAACTGTAAACCTAAATAACAATTAGATTTTCCAGAGTATAATATTTATTTGGGAATAACAAAGCATTTGAGGGAACACACATGCCATACTAAACTGTGAGGATATTCAAGGAGGTTGAGGCAAAGGGAAGTTTTGAAAGGTAAAAAGGGAGAAATTTACTTAAGTAACTTTGAACAAAATTTACTGGTCTTGGAAACCTGAGGCAGGAGTTGGCATCATCTCATTGGTGAAGGTACCCTTGCTGGGAAAGTGTGCTATCCAGAGCATCTTGTCTCAGTTATTACAAAATTTATTACATATAAGTTTTAGCCTGGTGCTGTGGCATATGCCTGTAATCCCAGTGAGTTGGGAAGCTGAGGCAGGATGATTGCAAGTTTAAGCCCAGCCTGGGCAACGTCGCAAGATCCTGTCTCAAAACAAAACACAAAAAGAACGGGGTGAAGTTCAGTGATAGAGTACTTACTTAGCATCCACAAGCTCTAGGTTCATTCCCCAGTACTGCAAAGATATATTTTGTTTCAGAAATCTGTGCCTAAATTATAGGCAGGCAAATCATAGGGTGCATGTAGAACTAAAAGGAAAGTCCCTGAAATAGTACTTATCTCGGATAAGCAAACATAAGCTCTCTTTCTTTATTACTTTCCAGCTCTAATTTTGACTGGGTCTGGCAAGAACATTCTCATATTCATATCATCAACGAATACAAAACAAAAATGTTTATCATCTCACAATTTATTTGAGTCAAGAATCTGAGCGCCATAGAGTTGCCAACCCAAATGCTTTTAAGCCATAAAGAAATGTATGGAAAGTGGATCAACCTGATTCTGCAGCTCAATGATGTCATCATTAAGGACATGGTCCTTACAGCCTCTGCTTGGCTGTTCACTGTGAAGACCTCTACCTAAGGTCAGTTCCTAGATCCCAGGGTGGTTGTCCATATTCAGAGGAGAAAGAAGCTGGTTTCCCAAGTGTCTCTCTTGAGAGCTAAGAACATTACAGCAGACTTCTCATATGATGGATCTAAATTAATATAGACTTGCCCATCTCTGAGGCAGGATTGCACAGAGTACAATTTAAATATTTGGGACTTACAGACAGAAATATGTCTTGAGTAGCAACAAAACAGGAAGATCCCTGTATCCCAAGGCAAGAGGAAGAGTTCTGTATGTTAAAGTAGACAAAGATGGGTTGTGACCAACCAGAATGCATCTGGTCTCTTTTCAAAAGATACCCTCTGAGCATCAGTCACCAGCATGACACAGTTGACTATCATCTTAACAACTTTAATTGTCCTATAGGGTTTTGGATGTGTACCAGGTTCACCTGGTGGGCAAAATTGTGGTTACAACCAAGATGGCTATAGTTATGTCAAGCTGGATCCCAGTGGTTTCTTTTGAGCAGACTTGGTATCACATATTCTTTCTGAGTTTATGCATGAGAGGAATGATGTCCTCTCATCCTAAAAGACATGTACAATTCCTCCACCCAGACAATCAGGGAACAGAAATACAGAGCACTCTTTATCCATCTGGTTTTTCAACAGTAAAGCAGACGTAGAAACCATTTGAGCAAATGGGTGTCCCCGGGGGAAGTAAAATTAAGAATTGAGCTTTAAGGACTCCTGAAACTTAAGAGATCCCTGGAGGATTTTGGTGAGGCAGATAGTGTATTGTTTATACAGAAAATGATGTATTGTTCGCAGAACCTGACCACAAACAGTCCCTGAAGGGAGGGGCACATTTTGGGTCCAGAATGAAAAAGTCTTTTTCCTTCCTTTGAACAATGTTCTGAGTTTATAGTCTCTACTTATTGTTGAAAAACATGTCTGGGTTTTCTTAATTATAGATGTTGAGGAGAGTAGATATTTCTGAGATTCTTTCCTACTTCAAAGGTCTGTACCTCACTAGTAAAAACAAGAAGTCCCTTACCTTCACTTTGTACCCTGATGTTGCATAAAGACATCTGTCCCTAGGCCCACCTGTGTGCCCAGCACGGCTGACCTGTCCTGGCTCTTTGGCCTGCTGAGCTGCTGAGGCACATCTCTCTTAGCATGTTAGTGGCTGTCACACCCTGGCTGATATGAGATAATTGTACCCTTTAGGAAGGTGTGTACAGCTTCCTGGAATGTGTGGTATCCTAACAAACAGCTAGATTTTGACTAGGGGCTGGACAACTGCCCAAGTGTTAGAAAACATGCACTGTCAAGACAACAGCTGGTTTAGAGCCAAACTTGAAAATCATGTTCTGTCTTAGGACAAGAGAGAACATTTGTTACATATTTTAAGAGATTTATTTCATTTATTACATGTGGGTTCTTGTGCTATTTTGGTCAAAACCTAAAAAGATAACTAAGTTTAATTTCTGTAATTACTTTGGGATATATTATGCCATATTTTGTAGTATTGTTAAAAGGGTTGATATGGTGATTCAACAAAGCACAGTTCAAATATTCCAACTATTTTGCCCCATAAAATGTCATGGCCTTGTGTTCCGAATTTATAACCACCAGTTGGAGAATGTGGTCAAATTCCTGAGTCCTTTATTTCCAGGGCATTGCAGGCTCTCCAGTAAGTTCCTGGGTGGTACAGTAGCTAATTCTGGCCTTGTAAGCTTGGGTGGTTTGAGAAGAGGGCATCAAGGCTGTACCTGTGCCTTGTGGCCACATCTCATTGGTAGTTAAATAGGAACCTGGAGGTAACCCAGGACTAGATCTTTTGTAGCTTAGGGAGGAAATGACCCTGTTGCATTTCCTTAGATGGTGGATGCCCATAGCTGAAGACGTTGTTCTTCATCCTGTGGCAGGCATCCTTTGGGCTCTTTGCTATGTGTTGAGCAAGACAGGCCTTATCCTCTTTCCTGTGGAGTGGGCAGTCTTGCCTTCTGAACTCATATATATATCCTCCTGTCTTTGCAAAGGGAAAGCATGTATGTTGCCCTGGGATGCCTCCTCTTTCCTGTGGAGTTCAGTCACTACCCCCATAAAGGAATATCATATTTTGAGTTTAAGAGCAATGATCCCTAAAGTCTTTAATGCTCTTCTGTTCTCTCCATTTTTTCCCATTGTTTTGCGAGCAATATCTAATTACTAAAGCAATTCAAGAAACTGATTTCTTAAATTAGAAGAAAAGTAGGGCTAGAGACCAGTTTGCTGATAGTGACCCCAGGCCAGGGGTCCACAGGGTCTACCCCCAAAGGTTAGCTAGTAAAGTACTGGGCTGGTTCCCAGAAGAATGATGCAACTTCACTCTCGGTGGCTCTCAGACTGGGATTTTACCAGAAAAATTGCAAAGTGAATTTGAACAACTGACTCAGAAGTAACTCTTTAAGACACCCTCACTCCTACTACTATTAGTTTTATTTTATATATGATAGGACAAGTTCAGAAAAAGGAAAAAGACACAGTCTAGATGAAGTACAACATCTTCAATTAATCAAATTCAGTATTATGACCTATTTATTTTTCTCAGTCTGATGAACTGTTTTTTCTTAATTTCTGCAGTATGATGGATAAATATTATCTATGTTTGTGAATCACAGCTCTGCATGACTCAGGAGAATCACATATGGGGAAAAAATTCCAAGGAGATTTTTAAATTTGTGATGCTGGGGATGAAACCCAGGACCTAGCATGCTAGGCAAGGGCTCTACCACTGACCTACGCATCCAACTGAGACAGGGATAATGGAAAGGTAGTCAGCACAGATAATAAATGATTGGGTAGGAAAGATGGGGGCTAATTATCAATTCAAAGAAAAGGAAATAGAGTTGCTAAAGCTAACCTCCAGATAGCACCACCCCTCACCCCTTGTTAAAACCTCCAGGGGAGGGGAAGGACGAAGGATCCCATTTCCCAGCATAAGCAATTACCCTCTGAGTGGCTCTTTTTCTGCTTTGGGGCAGGAAAGAAATAAGGTGGGGGTTGTATGAAAAAGCGAGACCGTCCCCCCACACTCTCTTGGGTACCAGCTATTCTTCTCTGGAGGAGACTACTATCTCTATTCTATCTTTTACATAAAATTTGTTTTCTGTACTTGCCTCAGCATTTCTCAGGTGTTTAATCTTCAATACCCTGGAATGAGGACCTGATGCTGATTCCAAGACCAGTATCACAACTCTCTAGGAGAGTTTCAAAGAGACAGACCAAAGGATTGGTATACCCAAGAACCATCCTACGTGTCCAAAAATGGATGAATGGATAAAGAAATATGGTTTATATATACAGTGAAGTTTTATTCATCCATAAATAAGAATGAAACTATGCCATTTGCAATAAAAGGGATGGAACTTGAGAGTATTATGTTAAGCAAAAGAAGCCAAACTCATAAAGTCAAGAGTGGTATGTTTTTCTCATATGTGGAAGATAGAGAAGAAAAAGGAAAAGAAATGTGTGTATGGGGGGGTCTCATGAAAATGAAGGAGAGACCAATAGGCTAGAGGAAAGTGACCAGGGGTAGGCAGGAGGGGAGAGAAAGGAGAAAACTGGGTAATGATATTGACCAAGTTATAGTGTTCTATTGTACATGGATATAACATAATAATATGTAACAATAAATCTCACTATTGTGTATAATGATAATGCACCAATGAAAGATATGGGAAGGAAAAGACCTTTTCTCAGAAAATGTTAGCATTAGTGTGATCTAAAGGTGGAGTTTTGGCCCTCTGACATCAAAAGATCAGACACCTGTGCAGCCACAAGTGAAGAGTCTATGGTTTCAATAAAAGCAGTCTTCAAGTCCCAGAAAAGTAACCTAGGTAACCATGATCATCATGACCCACTTGTCAGGGGTATTATCTTTTTTTTTTTTTTTTTACTACATCAGAGTCATCACATCCATGTTTCCCTTCCTCCAACCCAGAAAGTGCTCTCAAAGACACTGAGGTTCCACTGGCTCTGGACTTGCCCTTTCCTCTGGGATCCTGGGGCCCTGTTTATTAGGAAGCCACAACGATTCTCAGCACATGGTATGGCCCTGCTCAGATCCCAGGAGAATCCAGGCATTGTTTCTACTTGTAGTCCATCATGACCCACAACACAATGCCTGGTCACTTGAATCCAGAGTCCTCTATGCAACACAGACGGCCCTGCACCCTGCTCAAGACACATCCTCCAATCAGCAACAGAAACTACCAGGCACAGGGCCTTGGCACACACTGGCCTGCAAAGACCTGAGGCAGGAGGGGACCCTCAGGCTGGGTGGGACCCATGACCCTAGATCCTGGGATCACAGCTGCCCACTGACATGGACAGACAGTTCATGTGCATAGTCACCCTGACTTTCACTCAGAGTCCAGTTGAGACCCTGCAGACTTGGCAGTGGACTTGGTATACCCAGGAGTGAGGCTGAACTGCACCCATTGAAAATGATGGTGTTCAGAGAAAGACAAATTTTTTAAGATTTCACTTATCTCAGATTCCCAATAATCAGCTTCATAAAAACATAAAGTAGAAGTCTTAGGCCTGGGGAGGGGAGTCGAATTCAGTATTGATGGCAAGAGTATGTCCATGTGAGTTCTGGAGATGCATGGTGGCAATGGCTAGGCAACAACACAAATATGCTTAATGACATTCAACTAAGTGTGCACTTCGAAAATGGTTCAGTTACAAAATAGGTGTTTGGTGTAGACAACCACAATGTAAATATCAGGTAGATTGCTGATTGACTCTCTTGGCATTGTTCGTGTTGTGATGGCAGAATACAAGAGACTAGGTAATTTTTAGCATGGATTTTATTTCTCAAACTTGGGAGGCTGGAAGACCAAGATCAGGGACCAACTTCTGAGAACATTTTTGTTGTGTCCTCCTGGAGAAGCAGGTGAAACAGGGACAAGGGCTGCTTTGAAAAGCCCTTTCCCATGGAAGGAGACTCCATGGCCTAAGCACATCTTCAAGTTCCCACCCAGTAACACATCATAATGCAGAGACAAAATAGAATAACATCCCCTGCTCCCCAGAACATCCAAACTTCTTGGCATGACTCAATTTCTGCAAGATTTCACAAGTCATGATTTTGGATAAGACAAGAGTTAAGCTTAACACATGGAGAGAAGGTTTCCTTCTCTGCTCCTGCTTGTAGTGTTGGATGTGGCCTTACAAGCCATACTGAAGTTCTGCACAACATCTCCAACTGCCCACCTACCACATCCCCAGGGGGCTGACTCACACTCAAGTCCTGAAGACTCTCAAGTCCAGAAATCAGAAATGTCACAGGAAATCCAAGGGGAATTTGTTCACAGACTACCGAAAACACCACAGTCCACACATGCTCAAGTCTCACAAAAATGACAGAGTAATTTCATCTAAACACTGCATATCTTCTACCTGTATCACTTCCATTATCACTAGATGACTTCTGACACCTAATACAATGAAATGGCAGTGTCATTCTCTGTAATACTGTAAGATCCAGGAAACAATGATGAGAGAAGTATCTGTCCATAGAGACACAACTTCTTTCCTGATAGTTTTGATTTCCAGCTGGTGGGGACCATGCATGCAGAAGAATGGGTGCAGAGCCAACTGCACTTTCTTGCTTTGCATTACAGGAGGAAATACTGCAGCCAAGAGGAGGGCTTCTAGGAGCTGATATCCTTCAAGTCAACATGTGGACACATTTGTCCGAGGTATTATCTACAGCACAGCTAGTGGGAGACGAATAATATGTTGCTCAGCTTTGTGGCTTTCCAAAATTAGTGATTTTTAAAGTCAACTAAAAGCAAGTATCTTGAAACAAGCCAGGTGGTTTGTGGTTTGATGTGGGAAATCCCGCAGTCTTTTGCCTGCTAAGCAAGTACTCTACCACTGAGCTATGCCCCAGTCTAAGTCAGAGGGCTCATTTGGTTTTTCCATGAGTTTCTGCTAGCTGCCTCATGCCCAGTTCTGAGATGTGAAAACACTCAAAGCCACACAGGCTTACGACAGAGCTTAGGAATCTCCAGTGATTCTAGAGCAGCCACAGACACACATGGTCTTCTGCAGAGCCTATGGGGGACGAATGATTCACCTAACAATAGAAGTTTCAGGGTTGGACTTGAGGAGGGGTATGAGCTAGCAAGGAGACTTTCTGAGCCAGTCCTGAGCCCGAGTAATCTAGCCGCCTTGTCACTGCTACTGGCTGCCATCCAAGCCTGAAGTGCAGTTATGAGTAACTGAGCTTCCTCCTGGAGGCAGTAAACAGTTAAAATCTTGAGGCAGCTGTAATCATGTAGGCGTGGTTCTCTGGGCTGACTTGGGCTGCCCAGATCCTGGGCCAAGGGGCAGAGGAACGCCAGCTTAGGCGGCAGAGCCTCCAGGATGACTGAACTGGATCTGATGGCCCCAGGGCCATTGCCTGGCGTCACTGCTCACCCTGTGGCCCCTCTCAGCTCAGATTCTGGGTCTGTCAGCCCCACAGAAGAAGAGGACTTGGGCTCCCCCGGGAGAGCTGTGGAGGAGACAGAGGGAGAGGGCAGCTCCTCTGCAGAGTCAGGGGCACCCGGTGAAGATGGGGAGGAGGACATACTGTGTGACTTCTGCCTTGGAACCAGCAAGGTGAAGGCAGTGAAGTCCTGTCTCACCTGCATGGTGAATTACTGTGAGGAGCACCTGCGTCCTCATCAGGAGAACAGTAAGCTGCACAGCCACCAGCTGACTGAGCCATCAAAGGACCGAGACCTACCTACCTGCTCTGCCCACCACAGCCCTCTGGTTGCCTTCTGCTGCAGTGACCAGCAGTGCATTTGCCAGGAATGTGGCCAGGATGAACACAAGGACCACACTACAGTCTCCCTGGATGCTGCCCGCAGAGATAAGGAGGTGAGTGCTTGGGGTCTGTCCAGCTGGGACAGGGCAGTGGGACATGGTGCTCGCCTGGGGAAGCCCAGCCACACCACAATCCTTTGCTCTGCTGATGTCACTTCTGTGCTCTGTATGTACAGAAAAAGGAAATTAGCCATAGCTCCTGGCTGTTCGTGCAGCATAAGAATCTGTTGCCCTTGGATTTGAAAAATGAAGTAGGTCACTCTGTCCTCTCCTTGTCTCCCTGTTGTCGTGCTACCTCTGTGTCTGTCTCTGCTTCTCTCTGCATTTCCTGCTGTTTTTCATGTAGCTTGTAGAAGTTGTGGGGCTCAGAGGAGATGTTTCTCTCTGGAGGGAATTACATGGCACGTATACTGTTAATTAATAAAACACCCACCTTGGCGGAAATTCAAGAGAAAAGTATAAATCTTTCCCCTAATTTTTCTTTTTCCCTTTATCCTAAACAAAGACTAGTGAAAAGTGTCCTGCTAGAGATAATCAGTGTGAAATCCAAGAGCTTGAAAAAATGCTAAGGTAATAGAATTTGACACTCAGGTCTGGGTGTAATGTCAAGAATGGGTTAACTTACGGAAAATGAAAGTTCCTCACCAGGTAGAGTATCAGAAGGAACTAAGAATACTGTGCTGAGAGCCTGTAATTTTACTTCTATCAGATAAAGGCATTAATTGTGAAATATCTAACTTACCTTTGTCTTAAAGCTGAGGACCTAGAGAAATCCTTGGGAATTGATTCAGCAAGTTTATATGCTCTGTTTCTCCCACGTTGACTTTCCATGAGCACTTTTTCTTACTTTTTTTTTTTCCTGTAGGGAAGTACAGTTGACTTTTGTCCCACATTTCTTATATTCATACCTGCCCCAACTTCCCAAATGCATGGCTGGCATGTTTACAGTAATTTCTTGGCAAATGCTCCTGGGCAGTAAAGGAAAGAGGTTTCTGGGAAAGAGGGTTTGCACACTAGGGCACCCCCTCTATATCTATCCCTAGACACATATTTTATCTAGTGCTGGTGGGAGTTGTTTTGGAGAGCTCTGAATTCCACTTGTCAGTGAGTCACTGCTTCCGGCCTGGGAAGTCATTTAATTGTTTCCAGTGTTTCCTGTGACCAAGGATGTCAGACTAAGAGAGAGAGAGCAACAAATATACACATCAAAGGAAAAATCTCCACATAGTTAAGGAAAATAGTCTTCACTGAGTATTGTCAAAATACTGAGTATTTTTTAAAATGAATTTTTGTGGCTCTTCTCATCCAATTCTCAAATAACTGTGAGGTGAAAACTCTTATTATCTCCACCACATTTGTCTCAGTTCATACAGTTGACTAAGTGATGCAGTGAGGCATGGAAGTTTCTGGAAAGCCATCCTACTGGAGGGACATGAAGGAAGGACTCCAAAATTACAACAGTGTAACTTTACCTTATTGATATGTTTTACTCCAAAAACTGGCCATACATATGGTAGAGATTTTAAGACAAAGTGTATTGTTATTCCCTTTGGGTATAATATAGGAGTTTTATTCTATTTACTTATTTTGGTACCAGGGATTGAACCTAGGGGCACTTAACCACTGAGCCATATTCCCAGCCCTTTTTTATATTTTATTAGGGAAAGGGTCTTGCTGAGTTGCTGAGGCTGGGTTTGAACTCAAGATCCTCCTGCCTCAGCCTCCTGAGCTGCTGGGATTACAGGCTTGAGCCAATGCCTGGCTGGAATTTTATTATTTTATTAACTGGAAAATGATAGACGGAGTTGTTAAATAACAATATTACCCAAATCGATTTTAGTGGGAAGAGAGGTCTCTAGCCCATCCCCAATCCCTGTATTTGCCTCCTCTTAACTGTACTTTGTTTCCTTCAGAAATGTTCTATGCCTGGTACAACACGGATACAATATAAATGTTAAATGTATGGCATCTAGAATGCCACAGAGACTTAGGGTGATAGAAATTTGAGCAGGAGAGCTGGGCAGAACTCCAAATGCAGATATCCTAGGAAAGAGCTGGGTACAGTAAAATAAAGGCAATTGGGTGAGGGGCTCTAAGGTAGTCTGTGGGCTGAAAAGCAGTCATGGCTGTAGTTACAGTGTGGCAGCCCTGTAACACAGATCCCCCTGCTTTCTGGTCTGCTACCGAGATCCTATGTCCTTTCTACCCTGTGTCCTCATTTTCAGCTTGGAGAGCAAATTTACTCTGTGAGTGCAGCTACATTCTATGCAATTCCACCAAATCTTAGGAACAAAGGATTTCTTACAAGGAGCCCAAGCAAACAGCCCAGAAGACATGGGACCTTGATGTCTTAAGAAGCTTAAGCTTCTAGCTCCACTGTGATTGTTTTGAAAGAATTATCAGTTATCATTAAGGCTCCCCAACCTAGGGTTCCTTTCAGCTAGCCCAAGCCTACTGCAGTTACTCTCTGAAGGTCACTTTGGAGTGGGCTAATCATTATTCAGGCAGGCATTGTGTACAGGAAATTGTAATGGCAGGTTCATCTAGGGGGACAGAAAGCACTGAGATCTTGCTGGGGATCTACAGAGTGATTGACATTTCTCAGCTGCCAAGTTAGCTTTTTCTGAAGTTCCTGTGGTTAGCAATATCTAGACCATTGGGCAAAACCTGTGGGCTTTGAGAGGTGGATGTTCTTTGATGATGATGTTTTCTATCCTGCTGGGATTTGAGAGCCCAGCTATACCTAGTGGGGACTTCAGCCCTTCCCTTTGCCCCCACACCCATTTCCTCTTCAAAGCAGCTGGTCTTGTCTGGCTCCTGCTAACTCCTCTCATTGCTGAATCTCAAACTTGGCACCATGGAAATGAGACCCCATGTTTATGAGAAGCAGGGTAAAATTTGGACTCCTGTGACTACCTTTCCTGTCTATTCTGTCCCGTGGGGTTCTTTCCTGTTCTTCATGCTTATCATACATTATGAAGTCTGTGGCTAAGTGCTAAGCTGCCCAGGCCACAACCTCCCAGAGTTGGGAATCTAGTCAGGAAGCCAGGGCACATACCATGGCTTCACAGAGTGCTAAAGGGCTGGCACATTGCAAGTGCTGCATGTTCAAAGGAGGCAGCCATTGCTGGGAATGTTAGGGTAGGGTTCTCGAAGGAGAAGATATGAGTTGAGCTTGGCCTTAGATCTTTGGAGACCCCACTTGTACCGGGCCACTACCTTCAACCTCAGTTTTGGTTCTAGAAAATTCAGGACTGGATGCTGACCATGGTCACAGTCTCCATGTAGAGTAAGAGCCAAGTATCAGAGAGCCAAAAGTCTTTGTGCTTACTTGGGAGTAGTTAGTCAGCATTGTTCAGAGTCTGATTGCTGGTAGCCAGTAGGTGGTTAATAATAATATGCAGGCACTCAGGATGAAAATTTCTTTTAGAAATTGTAAAGAAGGCCTTGGATTCAGTATATGTAACTTGGTCTTTCTTTCTTCCCTCCTACCCCCAACTTTTTCCGAGAATGAGGATGGAACCTCTACCTTTGAGCTATATCCCCAGCCATATATATATAGATATATAGATATATAGATATAGATTTTAAATTTTGAGACAGGGTATTTCTAAGTTGCCTGGGCTAGCCTCAAATTTGTGATCCTTTTGCTTCAGCCTCCCACACTGCTGGGATTGTGTGTGTGCCACCGTGCTTGATGTAACTTGATTTTTCATAAGTAGCCTACCAGGCTATAAGCCTTCCAAGGACAGATAGGGAGTGTTTCAGTTGACTGAATTGGCATGCAATAGGTCCTGATCAATTAACTGAGGAATGGCATCAATATCCAGGTAAAATTCTCGTGATTACAAAGATAAGTCTCAAGAGCACTAACCTCACATGGTTGGAAATACAAGAGAACTGACTTCATCTGGAATTTTTTTCTCTCTTCTCATTTTCTCAGTTCTTCCTCTTTCATCTCTAACCTATCCCCAGCCACCAAGCTTTGGATTTCCCTTTGCTCTGTAGACAGAAGAAGGAAATATTCAGTCAATATATTTCTGTGACCTTGTACCAGAGGAGAATCTAAATGATTTGACAAGATTATACAGCCAGCAAGAAACAAGTCTGCAGACCCCAAATATTGTGCCTTTTGTACATTTTTCCAATACCTTGATGAAGCGTGCAGGTCTCTTTGTGCCCTTTGCTAGAAGGTCATCTATGCTCATAGGTACCACTGTTCTGCACTTGGGTAGGGTATGGGCAGGGCCCACCCTGGCCATGTGTGCATGGCTGATCTTGGGAAACCTCAGAGTCTGAGACAACCCATCATTTTCTAGGAACAGGAATAACTGGATATACGAATCTCCCAACTGGCCCCACCTTTTGTGGTAATTGGGAGTGCCTTCCCTTGGAGTGACTCACTCAGAGAGATTCTGGTTCAGTACTTAGCAGCCCTTTTCTCCTTTTATGGTAGTCTGCAGACAGAGGAGAAGCCCCTCTTTGGATATCTGGGTGTCTCCTTAGAACATGACTGGGAACAACTGCTTTAACTCACGTTGCTACTATTAAGGTGCCATGTTGTATGAGCTGGTTGCTAGGGTGTGATCTGTTATGTCTTTCAATTCTTTCAAACAAACAGTTCATGTTCTTCCCCTTTCTTCTAGAATGGGTCACTATATAAGATTCTAGGATTTCCCCCAATAGGCCAGACCCTTGACTCTTTCTCATTCTCTACTACTAGGCATTAGGTTACAGGTATTGGGGTGAGAAGCCATGGGGCTCCCTAGAGACTGGTCAAAGGTTACCAGCCTTCTGCAGAGTGTACTTGTGAAGTGACTGCTCTACCTGCAGCTGTGTTCCCCACTAGGGAGCCTGGAACCCCCAGGCTTCCTTGGAAGAATTAATTTATGCACTTCATTTATGCACTTTGAGGTCTGTTGGGGCATAATGACTCACAGCTTTAAATGCAGACAGAAGCTATTAAAAATACTGAAAGCTGCTTATTATTTATTATTATTATTACTTCTTTTTGCTATCTCATGCCCTTGTGGAAGCAGGGAAGTGACAGGGCCTTGGAAGTTGGCAAAGTCTTAGATTTTTCTGTCAGACAGACTTTCTGGCAGAAGTTGTTTAGGGAGTCCCAGGAGGCAAGGTCAAGGCAGGCAAACACTTGCACTTGCTTTGGCTGGAGTGGCAGTGGGGCTGTGGTAAGGGGAGGGAGGGAGGATTTGGGAGAGGGTTTGGAGTGGCAAGGGCTGGCTCTACCTGCCTCTACTTGCCTCCAGGAGCAAACATAGAGTATGAAGGGAAATCAGCCATAGTAGTAAGATGGATGATAATGAGGAGGAGGAGGATCTCAAAGACAACCACTGACATTTAGGGTGCACTTTCAACATGCTTGGTACTGTACCAAGCTCTTATTATACTTGATCTTAGCCAAAAGGCAAGAAGCAATCCAAGTTCTTATTAACATACATTATCTTATTTAATTCATTATCTTACAATCTTAGGAAGCAGGCACTTTATTTATCTCCATTTCATAGAATGAAGATATGAAAATTTAGAGGCATTAAGTTCTGAAATAATAATAAATACATGCTTGATCTTTGGCCACATTTCTTGACACATATATAGCTCTTAAAACCCTTGCAAGGCTGGGGATGTGGCTCAACGATAGAATGCTTGCCTGGGATGCATGGTCTGGGTTCATTCTTTTATTCTTTTCTTTCCTTTCTTTTCTCAGGGGTGCTTAACCACTGAGTCACATCCCCAGTACTTTTTATCTTCTATTTTGAGACAGGGTCTCACTGAGTTGCTTAGGGCCTGGCTAAGTTGCTGAGGCTGGATTCGAACTGGAAATCCTCCTGCTTCAGCCTCCAGGGCCACTGGGATTACAGGTGTGTGCCATGGAGCCTGGCCTAAGGAATCTCTGAAGTGATCTGTGTCTTTTGTATGCTAATGAGATGACTGCTGGCTGGAGCTCCTGGACAGCCTGTGGATGGGGACAACTTGCTAAGGGAACCCACCACTTGGTTAGGCGTTTGGGACTTTCAGCCCCATCTCCCAACCTCTGGGGAAGGAAAGGGGCTGAAGGTTGAGTTGTTAACTGGTGGCCATGAATTTCATCAATTGTGTCTCTATATATTAAAGTGTGCATAAAAACCTAAGGAACAGAGTTCTGAGAGCTTCCATATTGTTGAACATGTAAGTGCCTAAAGAAGACATGGAAGCTCTGTGCTTCTTCCCATATGCCTTGCCCCATGCATCTTCCATCTATATGACTTGTATTCTTTCATAATAAACAGGTAACGTAAGTAAAATGTTTCCTTAATTTATGAGCCATTCTAGCAAATAACTGAACCTGAGAAGCAGGTGGTGGAACCTCTGATTTCTAGCTGGTTGGTCAGAGGCAGGGGTCACCATCTGGACTTGGATTGGTATCTGAAGTGGTGGTAGGGGGTTACAGTCTTATGGGACCTGATCATGTGGATCTGACATGATCAGAATTAACTCAGAATTGAATTAAATTGAAGAAAACCCAGCTAGTATGTGAGAACTGCTGCATGTGGGGAAAACACACACACACACACACACACACACACACACACACACACATTTTGGTCATAAAGTTTTCTGTGTTGAGTGTGAGTATAAGGAAAAAATGTCTTTTTCATGCATAATTAAATTTTTCCAAAGTTTCTGCTGCTAAATAAAGGAGCTGGACTCCCTACCTGGCTGTCTGGCTCCAAGGCTCACTCACTCTCCTTGTTAGGCTGTTCTGGGGGTCAGAAGGTCTAGACTCAACTACACTAATGAGCTGCTAACCTTGGGTAAATGGTTCAATTTTATCATCTACATAATGGAGATAATAATTTTTACCTATTATGGGTATAGTAAGCATGATAAGAGGTGATCTAGCACTGTATGAACCAGGTACATTTTAGCTAGTTTGTGCTGAGTTCAGCCCCAGAACAGCCCTGGCATACAGCCCATGCTTCACACCTCTAGGCTGGCTTCTGAGATCAGCTTCAGAGGTCAAACTTTCCCTTTCATGGAAGAAAGGCAGGGACCTAAGGAATGAAAAGCGTCATTGCCCTTGTGGACTTTTGAGTACAACTGGGCCCCTTCCTTCTTAACTCTCTCCTTTCTGTTTCTCAGGCTGAACTTCGGTACACCCAGTTAGACTTGGAGCAGAAACTCAAGTTGAACGAAAATGCCATTGCCAGGCTTCAAGCCAATCACAAGTCTGTTTTGGTAAGATGGGTGTGGGTCACCTGTTATATTTCAGCATGTCTGGCTGCTGCTTCAGGGTCAGTCAGGCTATAGGGGGTTGTGGGACATGGGTTGTAGGTCCAGTGGGGTTTTTCTGCTAGGAGAATTGTAGGTATAGTTGGCTAAACTATGAGGCAGCCTCACCTTGATGTCAGGATTTGTTATGAAGTTTGCTTAAGTTTTAAAGCTGGCGAGTGGTTTGCTTTTTTAATATTATAGAGTAGAACCAAGATTAGTCATGGTATAACAGCATTATTTTTATATGTGCATTCTTGATCAGCAGAAAAGTGTATGAATGTGCCTGTGTATATAGAAGGGAGGTATTTAGTTAGAGCTCTAGGAATTATAAAAAATCTTGGCTTCTTCCATCAAGGGAGGATGTTCTGAATGTGTGTTACCAGTCTGATGTCCTGGCATCCAGAAAAAAAGATTTTAGAACTGCGGGATAAATGGATGTACTTGATAAGGCCAATGGTGTACCAGGCTGCTTGGCTTTAGTTTCTCTAGAAGTGGCTACTTTCCAAATAGACTCTATAAGTGGACCCAAGCAATTCTACAAATAGCTTTTATTGGTGGCAAGCCAATAACCACTACTTAGAAAAGATTGCTGAACACTTACTCTATGACAATGAGTCAGCAGTATCATTTCATATGCTGAGAATGAATAATTTCATCCATCTATCCATCCACCTACCTATCCATTCATTCATCCATCCTTGCATTCATTTATTTACCCATAAATCCACTCACTTGCCTACTTAAATACATGTCCATCCATCTGTCTACCTATCCATTCATCCACTCATCCATCATCCACCCACCTAATGTAATACATATATCCATTTTAACTTAATTTCTACCTCTTTATTTTAAATAATTGTATACCTTTATTTATTATCTATTTATCTATTTATTTATTTATTTATTTGTATATGGTCCTGAGGATTGAACCCAGCACTTTGCACATGCTAGGCAAGCGCTCTACTGCTGAGTCACAACCCCAGCCCATAATTTCCACTTCTTATGTTTATAACTAATTAGTTGCTGAAGAATGAAACCTCTTTCTTGCCCACAATATTTTATTAAAGGAAGAAAAATAATTACTCCTTTAAATCCTTATAAACCTTCAGAGACAGTTGATTTTCAGGATTCAAATGACTTAGAAAATCACATTTTAGCTTTTTTCTGGCTTTTCAATGTTTAGACACTTTGATCCCTATTCAGTTCTCATAATGGTATGGTAACCAGGGGAGGTAATTTTACAATGACCTTCATGCACAAGGGATGTGATAAGGCTTGTCTGGGGTCCCTTAGATTGGTGGGACAGGAGAACCTGGGAATGTTGCTCTTTCAACCTAAGAATGACTCATACACTGATAGGCATGTGCACCATCCTCAAATATAAAGCACTAACTGTTGACTACTTCGATATGTTTGTAGCCCCTCCTATCTGCACTATTTATTTGTCATCATTTGGGTAGTAAATAATATCCTTCATACATTCCATTTACGTGGAAAGAAGAAGTATTTCTCAATGGGAAGGTTTAGGAAGGAGAGGCTACAGTAGGAGCCATTCACCAATATCATTCAAAGCACCCTTTGCACTATCTCTCCTCATTGGTGGCAGGGAAGGGATGTGGATCATGAATTTTGTCTTCAGATTTATGCCTCTTAGCTCACAGTATGGTACCTCTATGAGGAACCTATATGTTGGAATTATAGAGAGTAAATGGATTTGGATTCTCTACCCATCTCATGTGACTACCCATATCTAGTCCTCCTCCTGTTTTATGGTAGTGATCAGGAGTAGGCAGGGCAGGGAGCCTCTGCTGATCTCTATGATTCATGGAGTCTGGATACCTGAGCCTGATAGGGTTGGAAGGGCAGTAAGCCAGGGATCTAGAACATGTTCCTTAATGTGGAGCTTGGGTAAGACATCAACAGCTATCCCACCCCTCCTCCACAAAAGGTAATGAGTAATCTCACCTCTCTTCTAAGGTAGATTTCTCCATCTTTGCTTTCATATTTATAATATGAAGACATATTTTGACATTCAGATTTAAATCCAGTTATGATTAATTGTCTCAGAATTCACAGTATTTATAATGACAAGGAGGCAACATCTGTAAACTCTTGCTTCATAAACTGCTGAGTAGGTTTGGCATCTTGTTTTGGTCACCTGCTCAATGACAGCCTCTGTATTTAGTCCATTAGGGGTAGAGGTGGTGCTCCTGACCTAGTGCCCACAGTGACCAAAGGGCTAAGACCTGTTCCCTTTCCAAACTGAGAGGGCATCAGTTTAATATGCTAATGAGATGACTGCTGGCTGGAGCTCCTGGACAGCCTGCTGCCCTTCCTTCTCCCCAGAGTGAGGCTCAGCCTGAACATCCCAGAGCTCCAAAGGGACCCTGAACAATAGATTTCCTCTGAGTTTCCTAAACTACCTCTGGTGCTACCCTTGCTTCTCAATACAGCCATCTGTCTGAAGCCTTTTCTTGGTTTGGGCTTGAGGAATTTAGAGAAAATCTGCCATCTAGTCTCTTCTTCCTCCTACCAGCTGTGCCCAGCTGCCCTAGCCTAATAAGCCAACAAGTGATAGCAACGTTGGCATAAAAATGAGAATGGAGGGAGTGTCTACGAACCTTTTCCCCTCTTCCAGGAACAATCCCAATTGCTTCCTTTTCCCTGCTTATTCCTCCTTGGCCACTGGATCAAAGGCTGATCAGAGACCATGAATTCTCTTGGGATTACATTCCTGAGTCTTGGTCTGAGGCAGGGTCCCCAGCTGACCGAAGTCCTCCTACCTGATATCATTTTTTCTTTTTCTCATTTTCCTTCAAACGTCCAGGATCCCACATGTCCTGGTGCTGAGGGCCATTACCAAGTAGGAATGACGCATCGAAATTTCCTTGCCAAGCGTACCCCATGCTGCTTAGAGGACATTCGATGGGACATTGCATGCATGCTTTAATAAGGTGACCTTGCTCAAGGACTAAGGCAGATCCCGGTTTAGAGCTGATCAGGTTTGAGGAAGTAACTGGCTCCTTGAGTTTAAGGCGTTGCCAGTTTAAGATAATGGGTTTTAGGGAAGTTAGAGGTTGAAGATTATTGCTGGGATTAGGGTGTTCCTGTTGCTTGTTCCCGTTGAGTTCTCGTGAGATTAAAATGGGATTTGGAGAGAGCCTCGTGGAGTAGGTGAATTGTGCGGGAAACGGCAGAACGCGATTGCCCCTGGACCTGTGTGGAGGTGGTGTGAGAGCTGGAATAAAGAATTGCTGTTTGAATCTACAAAGCTGTGTGGTGGCTCATGATTCTGGTGCCAAGCATTGACCTTGGCATCCTGGGACCACAGGCCCTTGTTTTCTGATTTCTTCTCTTATTGAGTTTCACTTTTTGGGTCTGAGTCTTATTCTCCCTGCCTTCCAGGATAGAGAGGTGCCCCTGCAGCACCCATCCTAAGTTTTGGCTCCCTTTAGAGACCTGGCACTTACCCTTGGGACCAGGAATAGAAAACAGCACCTGGAGGGGATACTCAGAAGATCTCAGATGGGATAGGATGGTGGGGACAATGGGAGAGACTTGAGATAGGTAGGGAATGGACTTTGGGTTGTGGGGTTGGGTCAGGGAATATCCAAGATCTATGAAATTTAAGAGCATTGTACAGTATGTGCAGATGCAGAGGGAGCTGTCTACATACTTAAGAACTATTAAAGAGAAGAAGACAGCATTTAGAACTCAGATTGATGTTGTAAATGTGCTAGTAATTGAAGGCATTCAGAAGTGATGTTCATGAAAGAGTTCCACAAGCATGCATGTCAACATGCAAACCCTTAATATTGATTTTGTCTTATAGTTTGATTGCAGAATTCTATTTTGCATTGATAATGCTCATCCTGTAATTGCTTTAAACATTTCTTGGGGACTGTGTGCTTTGCAGAGACACCATGATCTTAGATGTGCTTTTGGCTCAGACTGTTCAGTGATCATTTTAACCAGGTGTAATAAAATGCTGAGAAAGCTGATTCACACTATCTATTTGTGCAAAAAGGTCAAGTTATTCATTTACCTCTTGAAGTACCCTATCAAATATACTGAATACAGACATTTCTCTTGTAGAAAAAATTGGTTTCATAAACTTGATTAACAGACCCAGACTGTCAGAGCTTAAAGAAATCCCACAAGTCACATAGCAATCTCATCAAATGGATAAGGAGACTAAGTTAACAATCAGCAAAGAAGCACTTACATTTCAGGAGAGTAAATCTTTTCTCCAGGAATAAAAGTTTCCTTTTACAGTAGAACGTTGCTCCCTCGTTTATGGGTTTATCAAGTTTGTTTGTTTATTTATTTATATTTTATGTTGAGCTTCCATGAAATTGAATGCCTCACTAATGAATTTTTGAATGCCTTTCACTCCCTCCCTGCCAGGTGTCGGTGTCGGAGGTGAAGGTGGTAGCTGAAGAGCAGTTTGGGGAACTGCTTGCTGCTGTGAGGAAGGCCCAGGCGGATGTGATGCTTTTCTTGGAGGAGAAAGAGCAAGCTGCTCTGAACCAGGCCAATGGCATCAAGACCCACCTGGAGTACAGGAGTGTAGAGATGGAGAAAAGCAAGCAGGAGCTGGAGAGGTTGGCGGCCATCAGCAACACCGTCCTCTTTTTGGAGGTACAGAAATGGGGGGTGGGGCAAGGGAAGAGGTGGAGGTATCCATGCAGCTGTACCACAGAGAATCCTTTTTCTACTAAGCCTGAGGCACATCTATGAATGTGACTGCATTTTAATAAAACCCCATTGGAATCAGAGACACCGGTCTTGATTCAGCAGAGTACAGCAGTGGTAGGGGTAGGAAGGATTGCTCAGAGCAGGGAAGGTCCTAGAAGGTAAGTCATGTTCAAGGTGCAGTATGTTCCAAGTAGAGGGAACAGCATGTGCGAAAGCACAGAAGATTGAGAAAGCATGGCTGGCTTGGGGAACCAAGGCATTTCACAGAGATGGAGCACAGTATGCTGGGCACATAGTGGTGGATGATGAGGCTGGTGGGGCCAAGCAGGCATCTGACTGTGAAGGACTTTGGGAGGGGGAGTGAGGAAGGCAGATGAGTATATTTTATAAAGCACCCTGGCAGTTGTGTGGAAACTTACCTAGCAGGGATGAAACTGGACACCTGCTGTTTTTTCAGACAGAGCTGTGTCTATTGGGTCGTTGAGGACTGCTCAGTAGAGGGAAGGAACTTTCCACTATAATGTATCATTATACATTATGAGATGTGCCTTATGAACCAGATCTAAAGAACATGTCATTTTGCAGGAAAGGAACAGTAGGTTGGGGGTAAATTTCATCATCCTGCATCTATCATAAATAAGCTGTGGAGCTTTTAGTAAGATATTCAACCTCTCTGGGTCTCAAATTTCTCACTTATCCAAATAGAAGATTGGAATAAATAATTTGCAAGTCTTCTTCCAAAAGACAAAATAATTTTTATTGCTTGCATTTTTGAAAAATAAAAATCCTTCTAGGTGCAATAAACTATTTATTGTGAAAAAATTGGGGAAGTACAAAAAATATGAAGGAAAAAAATTACTCATAGTCCCGGTACCCAAAGACAGCCATAGTTAATCTTTTATAGTTAACTCTCATAATAAGTAAAAGAAAGAGAAACATACAAAGAAAGATAGTAAAAATATGAATAGTGTCTCTCTCTTTTTAAAATGTTTTTTAGTTTAAACATGGACACAATATCTTTGTTTATTCATTTTTATATGGTGCTGAGGCTAGAACCCAGTGCCTCACATGTGTGAAGCAAGCACTCTGCCACTGAGCCACAACCCCAGCCCCTGAATAGTGTCTCCTTTTTCATTTGTGTCTCTACTTTTCAATATCAAAACGCAGCAAATGAATATGGATAAAAATTTGATTTTCTGTCACAAGTTTCTTCCAAGATCTCCTGCCCAAAGAGTATAAAAATCGCTTTTTCTTGTTTTCTTTTCTCCTTTTGTAACTTGTTTTTTACATTAAAACTTTAAGATGTATAAGATCTAAAGATCTATTTTAGCATAAGATAACAGTTATTAATTTTGGTAAAAGATAAGTTATTTTTGCCCAAACTGTTAGTCAATTGAAATGACAGTTTATTTATTGAATAATTTATTCTTTCCCCACATTGAGAGAAAATTCTACTTTTATTGAGTATAGTAACCAAATCTTTTTACAATATTGAAATATTTATGTGCCTTCCTATCAACTTTCTGATTTGTACTTTTTCTTCTATTCCTTGGCTCTGTCATAGCCATGTTCATGGTTAAGTGTTCTTCTGCATTCATTCTGCTCTTCAATGCTCATTTGCCTGTGAGTTTTGATAATGTATTATATCTGAAATCAATCTTTCCTGTTTCCCGTGTTGTTTTGGAACTTAAATGACTTAATGTGATCATCTATATGAAAACACTTCAAACTGGAAAGCACAGTAAAAGAATTTTTTATAGAAAAAATTTTTATAGAAAACTACACATTGGACTGAATTGACAAGGTGAAGGTAGCATTCCTGTTTGAGGGATGGTTTGTGGATCTTTAGAATACTGCAACTAGTTCCTCCTGCCCTACCATGGCTAGAATGTTCTCATTCTTATGACTCTCGGTCTCGGCTGTGTATTAGAGCTGTTCATGGATATTAGGTCCCTCTTGATTTTAAAAGCTCATGTTCTCACTTGGTTTTCAAAAGGCCCACTTTTTAAAGTCTAGCAGCATTTAAAAAAGTTATTTTTATGTTTTTTAGACCTGAGATGGACACTATACATACATTTTCTCCTTGAAGTATGTTATCAACTCATTTTAAAGATGCATAAAGGAGAACAATCCAATTTAAGACACAAATTCTTCGTTTCCTTTTTGTAGGATTACTGCAAGTTCAAGAACACGGAAGACACTGCTTTCCCTAGTGTTTACATAGGGCTGAAGGATAAACTGTCAGGCATCCGCAAGGTCATCACAGACTCCACCCTACACTTAATCCAGCTGTTGGAGAACTACAAGGAAAAACTCCAGGAGTTCTCCAAAGAAGGTGAGGAGTTTTCTGGGCCATGGGCTATAATTGTTTTGTCTCTAGGAATGGTCTGTGGGGAAATAGAGAGCCAGGCAAGGAAGAGTAAATTGGGGAATGCTTATTTTCCAAGCCATCCTTTAGCTAGGTCATGTGACTAATGGAACCATATCTTAACTTTATTTTTATAATTATACTTCATGTATGCTTTATTTTATAATTAAGATCTGGAGAAGGTAAGTTAGTCACATTGTGCAGTGGGCTGCATTTCTGCAACTAGCTTCTCACATTGCTGCTGCTTGTGCTAGGAGGTAAAAATTCAAGTCAGTGTGGGATCTTTTTCTGGTGATTGTATCTCATCGGTGAAAGTGGTGTGGTCCATTAAGTGTGTTCCACGTTAGTAGGCACCAGCCCTCCCTCTCGAGCCCCAGGAAGCTCAGGGAAGGGTGTACTTTTCTTAAGTTCTCTTGACTACCCAAGAAGGTGTGCATTCACAACTCTCTGATTTTCTAGAGGAGTATGACATCAAAACTCAAGTTTCTGCCATCATTCAGCGCAAGTATCGGACCTCAAAACCTGAGCCCAAAACCAGGAAAGAGTTCCTCCAATGTAAGTTGTGAACAGCTTCCCCTTCCCCAGGTGCTGGTGTCAGTGAAATGCTTTGCTCAAGTGAGAACCACCATTTTTCATATAGGATTCATGTTCTTGTAACCTCTTGACTATCCCTAAACAATACACCTTTTAAAATTCAATTAAATAATTATTATTCTGAAATAATTTAAAACTTAGAAAAAAATTGCAAAAATAGGACAAAGAATTCTGTATACCTTCACTCAGTTTTTCTAAACGTTGTATGTAGCTATAATACATTGATCAAAACTAATAAATTAACATTGTTGCAATACTATTAACTAATCCATAGAATTTATTTAGGTTTCATTAATTTTCCACCAATTTTTCTGGTCCAGATTCCAACCTAGTAATACAAATATTTCCATCTCTTTAGTCTTCTCCAGTCTAGGTCAGCCCTCTGTCTCTCTGTGTCTTTAATAATCTTGGCACTTTTAAGAGTTTTGGCCAGATACCAAATGGTTGGTTCACTTTTAAGTCTCGCTTGGCCAGAATTGCACAACACATTGTTTTGTCATTCTAAGAAATCGACGTGTTCTGTTAACATTGTTAAAAGCACTGTATTTTTATTGATTTTTTAAAAAAATAGATGACAGTGGAATACATTACAATTCTTATTGCACATATACAGCACAATTTTTCATATCTCTGGTTATATATAAAGTATGTTGACACCAATTCGTGTCTTCATCCATCTACTTTTTAAAATTTTTTTTTTAATTTTTAGTTGTTGATGGACCTATATTTATTTATTTCATATGGTGCTGAGAATCAAACCCAGTGCTTCCCACATGCTAGGCAACTGCGCTACCACAGAGCCACCACCCCAGCCCCATCATATATGTACTTTGGATAATGATGTCCATCACATTCCACCATCATTGCTAATCCCCTGCCCCCTCCCTTTCCTTCCCACCCCTCTGCCCTACCTAGAGTTTATCTATTCCTCCCATGTTCCCCCTCCCTACCCCACTATGAATCAGCCTCCTTGTATCAAAAAAAACATTCGGCACTTGGTTTTGGGGGGATTGGTTAACTTCACTTAGCATTATCTTCTCCAATGCCATCCATTTACCTGCAAATGCCATGATTTTGTTCTCTTTTATTGCTGAGTAAAATTCCATTGTGTGTATATGCCACATTTTTTTTTATCCATTCATCCACTGAAGGGCATCTAGGTTGGCTCCATAGTTTAGCTATTATGAATTAAAGCGCTATATTTCTAATCAATACTTCATGTTAGAATGAATTCAAGAGCTTGTTGTACAACATGGTGACTATAATTAATCACAATACATTATGAACTAAAAAATTGCTAAGAGAATGGACTTTAAGTATTCTCACCACATACACACACACACACACACACACACACACAAGAAAGAAATGCATATGGCATGTTAGGTAGCACGTATGTTAATTAGATGTAAATTAGCTTGGTTTAGCCATTCCACAATATATATATGTATTTTGAAACATTATGTTGAATATTGTAAAGATGTACAATTTATTTTTTTTAGTTGGGCACAATACCTTTATTTTATTTATTTTTATGTGGTATTGAGGATTGAATCCAGAGCCTCACCTGTGCTAGGCGAGCTCTCTACCATTGAGCCACAACCCCAGCCCTAAAGATGTACAATTTTTGTCAACTAAAACAATTAAATTGAAAAATAAAAAACACTCGATGATGGTTAACCAGTTCATCAGATCTCATCTGCTAGCAGAGGAAAGATCACACTGTGTGGCCGATGCTCATTTTTATAACTTCTTTTTGGAACATGCCATTGAACCCTGCTTCTGATTATTTTTTGAGGGTGACCACTGGTGGAGAAACTCATGGACAGCCTTTTTCTCTGGTTTTTACTTATGACGATGACTATCTCCTGTTCTTGCCACAGCTCCTATTTATTTCCCAGGAAATGGTTTCCATGTGGTTTTCTTTGTTCTTTCCTGCTTCCTGACAGAAGCACAGTTATATTTTATAAGCAGACCCATTTTAATAAAAGAACCCAAATACCCTTTATTCTTCTTTTGTGTGTGTGTGTGTGTGTGTGTGTGTGTGTGTGTGTGTGTGTGGTTCTGAGGATTGAGCTGAGGGGCAGTCAGTTGTAGCCCTTTCTCTTTTAATTTTTGTTTTTTAAATTTTGAGGCAGGGTCTCACTAAGTTTCTTAGACTGGCCTCAAACTTACAATCTTCCTGCCTCCTCAAACACTGGGATTACAGGGATGTACCACTATGCCTGGCTCAAAAATCCTGTATTCATTACATTAAATTAAAATTAAATATATGCTATTATAATTCAGATTCTTCTGCCTTAAAAGTATTTTATACATATTAATTTTTCCCTTTTTTTAAACGTTACTATGAGTATTATTCATAGTATTATCTTTTGAATTATTATGGGCAGCCAGTGAGGAGCCTATGGCACTGGTATAGGTGAGATTTGGTGGTGGCTAACATGGGAGTTGAAGCAGAGGGCTGGAGAGAAGTGTGGAGATCTACAGAATTTTCTGTTGTCTGTGTGGAGGGATGGGGCTTAAGAATAAGGGCAAAAGACATGTCAAGAATGACTTGATTCTGCAACTGTGTGCAGGAAGGTGCTATTATTCTCAGGGATTAGAAATAGAATATATTTGGGGAATTATTTGACAGTTCACCATGCTGATTATTAGTCAAATAGTTTTAAAAATGAGTGAACGTGGGGCTGGGGCTGTGGCTCAGTGGCAGAGCGCTCGCCTTGCACGTGCGAGGCACTGAGTTCGATCCTCAGCACCACATAAAAGCAAACAAATAAAATAAAAGTAGGCTGTTTATCTACAACTACAAAGATTTTTTTTTTAAATGAGTGAAGGTATAGAATGTAGCTATACCCATATCCCCAAACCTTTGCTAACACTGATAGAATAGTGCCAGGCTTTCTTCACAGAATTGTTGAATGAATGAGTAATGAATGAGTTGCTTGATTCACTTCACCAAATAATACAGTGAATGCTGAGCAACTTGAGCTTCAGAAAGGAACTAAGTGGAGTGACTTGTGTTCTCCCTGTTCTGTCTTTATCCTCCTCTTTTCCTAAGGGAATAGCAGCTGGGTCAAGGGACAACAGGGGGTGGGTGTTTTCCCAGACATGCTTTGGAGGCCATCTGGGTTTAAAGCATTCTGTCGGAATCAGCTGTCATTTCCTGAAACACCCTTCTTGCCTTCTGTGTTTCTTCAGATGCTCACGATATCACATTTGACCCGGACACAGCACATAGGTATCTCCGACTGCAAGAGGACAACCGCAAAATCACCAACACCACACCCTGGGAACATCCCTATCCAGACCTCCCCAGCAGATTTCTGCACTGGAGGCAGGTGCTGTCCCAACAGAGTCTGTACCTGCACAGGTACTATTTTGAGATAGAGATCTCCGGGGCAGGCACTTACTTTGGCTTGACCTGCAAAGGAATTGACCGGAAAGGGGAGGAACGCAACAGTTGCATTTCCGGGAACAACTTCTCCTGGAGCCTCCATTGGAACGGGAAGGAGTTCACAGCCTGGCACAGTGACACAGAGACCCCCCTCAAAGCTGGCCCTTTCCGGAGGCTTGGGATCTATGTCAACTTCCCGGGAGGGACCCTTTCCTTCTATGGCGTAGAATATGATTCCATGACTCTGGTTCACAAGTTTGACTGCAAATTTTCAGAGCCAGTCTATGCGGCCTTCTGGCTTTCCAAGAAAGAAAATGCCATCCGGATTGTGGATCTGGGAGAGGAACCTGAGAAGCCAGCGCTGTCCTCAGTGGAGCCTGCTTCTTAGGTTCCAGGATCCATATCCCACAGGCCTTTGCTAAAACTATGATGGGACAGCAACTTGCATTGTAAGGGCGACTTGGGGGTCAGGAATATCTGCCAGTGGTAGCTGGTTTTAGAAATCATGTAGGTCTGAGAATGAGAAGTTTGTCCAGCTGTTCTCTTTGCTGCATGTAGCACTGTTCTCTATATGTTTGCAATATTCTAAAGTGCTAAAGTCTCAGGTGAACATCACACTTTGCCCAGAATTGTAATCAGGACTCTTTAGAGTACTAAAATGGTTGTAGAGGAATCATAATAAACTGCAAACTTTGTCGTGTATTTTCTGTGTGCCAGACTCTGTTATGGGACTTCCTATGCATTAACTTGTTTAATCTTCACAGCAGACCCATGGGGTAAATGCTTACATTCTCATTTTTCAAATGGGGGAAAGGTGGTAGGTAGTGTAGTCCAGAGCAGTTCGCTAGCTTGCTCAAGCTCACACTGGTCACCTGATGAGAGGCAGAGCTGGGATTCAAATCTGGGTGGGTGGTTGTTAAACTTTTAACCACCATGATATATGGCATTCTTCATTAGATCATAGACATTATGTATAAGGGAATAAACCACATGATGAACTACACAGCAGAGAAACAGAGTGTCTTAACTCACCTGTTAAGAGTTTACACATCTTTTTTGCATATACCATTTCTTTTAGCCAAAATCTGGCCAAGAGATTACCAGCTCATTCTGGTTTTGGACAGCAAGGATTAGAAGGAATGCCTTAATGGAGTCCAAGCCTTAGTTCCTGTGAACTCTGGGGAGGGACTCCCTCCTCTCTTCTAAAGACACCTGGACTTTGTGAATTTGTCTGATTTCTCATCTGAATGACAGTTCTTCACATATTTGTGGACAGCTCTCATATCCTCTCCTCCCTGGAGCTATTCATGTTTTAACTCTAAACTTCCCACTTTTTCTCATGGTTCCCAGTCTTTCACACATACACCCAGCCCTCAGGTATTCTCATTTTGACAGATAAGAACCCTAAGATTAATGACATTAACTCATCAAGCCTTTAAGAAAATGAAAAAACTGCCTTTAAATGGGTTTCTGAAGACATAACCTGAAGCTCTTAGTGGAATTTACCAGAAATATTATTTCCGGGTCTTTTCCTTTGATCTGTGTCAAAGCCAACCTCTTCCTGTTGGACCAGTTGGGTGAGCCTATCTCCATAGTATATTATTTTACCATTTCTTGGCTTTTTTCCAGAGATTCTGTCATATATGTTTACTTGAGGATTTATACAGTGTAGGATTTAAGTATTTTTACTTTAATTTCTTCACATCACTGCTGTGTGCTGAGTTGGTTTAGTGATTCTGCATCCGGTGTATTTGCTTTCCTTCCCAGTCTAGTGTCACCTGCAGAATTAATGACTTTACTTCTTAAGTCTCAATACTGTTCACAAATGTATGGATTAGAGTAGGACTGAATCTAGAATCTTGCAGCAGTCAGCCAATACTTCTGAGTTCAGTAATACATAAATTATTCATTGGTAGAACTGCACAATAGTGTATTCTATCTTTTGCCCCTTTCTCCACTATACATAATGAAGGACATTTTCAGCAGCATAAATCAATATATGTATGGTATGTTTGAATTTTTTTATCTCTTTGTCATGTAATGCTCTTAAAAGCAGCTTGGCCTACTTTTATTTTTTTCCTGTTTTCCTTTGCTTTTTTTAAAAAAATTTTTAATTGGCATATAATAATTGCACATACTTATTGGGTACAGGGTGATATTTCAATATATTTATACAATGTGTAATGATCCAATAAGGGTAATTAGCCTACCCATTGCCTCCAGTATTTATTTCTATGTAAATGAAAACATTCAAAATCTTATCTTCTAGCTATTTTGAAATGGCCCTGCCTTGCATGTACTAAACATGTGGGTTGTTGATGCTTGTTGCTGTTTTTTCTAAATTTTCACAGATAAACCATTTTAGAATTCTGCTGTGAGTTAATGTCAAGTTTTCTAGTCTGTCGTTTCCAGGATCTGCCTAATTTTTCTTTTTAAAAAACCAAGACTATTTTGTCGGTCCCCATTCTCTACCATTCTCTTTAATTTCTCAAAGATTCCTGCCTGATTGGTAGGCACGTAGGTAAATTGCCTCAGTGTCCTGGGATATAATTTGGTTAGGGCAGAACACTCAGGCTCAGGCTGGGTTTGTAGCTTAGTGGTAAAGTGCTTGCCTAGCATTTGTGAGGCACTGGGTTCAATTCTCAGCACTGCTTATAAATAAATAAAATAAAGGTCCACTGACAACTTAAAAAAGTCAAAGTGTATGTATCTAATAACAGAAAAAAAAAGAAAATTAAAAAAAATTTAGAACATTCAAGCTCATAAAAAAAGGAGCCATTTAGGTATCTCCTTACCTTGTTTGAATTTTGTTTCTCTATTAGGTCTTTTTGTCTATTAGTTTTCAGGTTCAAGGCCTCCTTTTTTGATATAAAAGATCAAAGCAAAATTAAGAGTTAGGCATATCTGTTTTCTGTTATTACTTCAAGTGATGGATATACCATGTTTATTTTTTTTTCTTGGTCTGTAAGCTAAAAACTGCCTAAAACAAATAAAAATAAGAGAGAGAGAGAGAGAGAGAGAGAGAGAGAGAGAGAGAGAGAGAGAGAGAGAGAGAGGATATGAATGCAGGCCTATATTATTTTCTCCGTCATTTTGCCCAAGTGGTCGTGTGTACCACTTGTTTGTATTTATCCACCCTTATCTCCTCTTCCATATATAGATTTATCTAAAACAAAAATAGAAACAAAACAAAACAAAAAAACCCTGAACTCAAGGAGAGCTCACTTTGTTTGCCAGATCATTTTGTTCCATTACTAGATGAGTCAGAATATAATTTTAGCCACCATCTAATTTTATTTTTTTTCTTTTAGTGCTGGGGATTAAACTCAGGACCTCATACATTCCAGGCAAATGCTCTATTACTGAGCTACATCTCAGACTCTAATCTATTCTTGTTTTAATTTTTTTTTTTTTTTGGAATCAAGTGCATAGGATATTCTCTTCTAGGAATCTTGTGAATTCTGAGTAAATACCTATATTCTTCTAAGATTCAGGATGAAATGATGAGCTATCAGGATTTGTCCCATCATGGATTCCTTATCTCTTTGTCTGCATTTTATGTGCTGTAACAGAATACCACAGACTGGATAAAGAAAATAAATTGATTTTTTTTTAATAATTCTTTAAGTTTGGAAGTCCAAGCTTTTAGGAGCCTGCATCTGGTAAGGACCTTTTTGCTGCTTGATCCCATGATAAAAAGTGGTAGAGAAAGAAAGCACTTGTGAGACAGATTGAACTCAAGAGCAGATGCAAGTCAATCTATAATCCCAGCGATTCAAGAGATTCAAGAGGTTGAGGCAGGAGGATCAGGAGGCTGAAGAGGAACACAGGTTTGAGGCCAGACCTGTTTTAAAATTAAAAGGGCTTGGGTATAGCTTAGTGGCTTAGTGGTAAAGTGCCCTGGATTCAATTTCCAGTACCACCCCCTAACCTCCCACTGAGAGTGAAAGAGAGAGAGAGAGAAAGAGAGAGAGAGAGAGAGAGAGACAGACAGACAGACAGACAGACAGGCGACAGACAGACAGACACAGAACGGCCCTTCAGACCCTTTTATAACTGGCATGGATTCATGAGAGTGGAGTCCCCATGAAGGCCCTACCTCCCAATGCTTTTGCACTGGGCATTAAGTTTCCAGCGTATGCTTTTTTGGGGAAATGCATTCAAACCATACTCTTCAACCTGGCTCAGCATCTTTTTGGAATGAATATCCTCAAATCAAATCCATTCAATATCTGTGGCATTCATGACGTGCAAGCTGCTGTGCTATATATTGTGAAAGAGTAACCCAGAAGATAACTGTCTTTTGGTGACAAGAAACTGATTTAAATTAAAATGAAAAGAATGCATAAGTGAAGAGTTAAATAGAAATGAATTATTCAAAATAATAATAGATGCATTCCTCATTTCTGTGTCTGATGTGCTTTCTTATTTATCATTTTTCTTAGTCTGTCTTCAGGGACTGAATTCTGTCTTGTGTTGGGGACTGACCAGCTTCCTGGTTGACCCCCCATCCCTAGAGCCATCTGCCTCCATTCAGAGGCCACCTCTCTACTCCATTAACCTCAGAGGGAAGAAGGAAAGAAACATGTGTTCATTTCCTGCTTCTCTTAGATCCCTCAGATTTGGGCACTGACTCCCCTTGTGCATCTGAGATTAGATTTTGTGGTGGCAGGGCAGGAGGTCCCAGCAGGGCGGTTCCCCACAGCACATGCATCCCATATCCACATTCAGGGCACAGACTGTGTGGCTCAGGTAGAGGGCTGGCCATTTAGGCTTTGCAAACTTGCCTCATTTTTATCTCTATTTCTGCCTTGCTCAGTTGTCCTGTTGAGAAAAATTCCCTCATCTTCTAGAAACAAGACTGGGTACTGGAAAAGAAGGAGGTGAACGAGACATTTAGCAAGCACCAAGGCTCAGTATAGCAATAGTTGGTCATTCAAGGTTAAAATCCTTCTCCCCATATTAATAATTTGTGTAATGACTCTGATGATTACCTGAAAAATGTGTGTGTGTGCATGCACAAATTCATATTTTATCTTATGTAAAAAATGCTTTCCAAAAATCTCATCAAAGTATTACAGCCAAACAATAGCTAATCCCTTAAACATTGCAGGGACATTTTTTTTTCTCTAAAGGTTCACTGTTTGGAGACTTATCAAATTGAAATATGTTCGTAAGAATCCTTAAGATTCTTTCTTATGACACCTCCTTCCCTCCTCCTATCTCCTTCTTCATCTTCCATCAGGTCAGTTAGAAGATTTTTTTTTTATTTTGGTCCTGGTTATGATGAAATGATAAGTATGACAATTTTTTCACTGTGTATTAGCAATATGAACACACATGCCAATGTATCCTAACAGATCTACTTGGTTACATCTCTGGGTGTCTGTACTTAATCTTGATTCATGTATGGAGAAATGACCGGGATGACATAATGCCTGCTTATTATATAAGAAAGTTATGTCCATGACTCTGAGCTCTTTACTTTAAAAGTTTTTTCTCCTGGCTTCTCTGTGTTCTCTTTTTATCCTGAAATACATTTTTTTTAGGTTGTGAGGTATGTTTAAGTAGTGGAAGCCAGTGATATACTCGAGGCATTTGCTACTTCCAAAAGTCAACTGCATCTCAATTAACGAGCATCTCTGGTCTTTTGTGGAATTTGAACTAAATCTATGAGCCTTATTCAATGTCTACAATTCTAT